TAGAAGCTTGGCAGTCAGGTAAATCAGCAATAAAAAAACACATTGAAATCAATCCAACTTATCAACCAATAAGACATACAACCAAAACAAAGAAATAAACAATGAGAGATTTAAGGTCAATAAGAACCAAACAACATCGAGGTGCAAAGGAAAAGCTGTGAATCACATGTGGAGAAATTCAAACATTTCATTTCTACTCCTCAGTTTGTGCTGATGATGTCGCTCAGAAGGACAATGAAACCTACACGACCAAACCATCCAGCTCAGAGAACAAAACTCCATCAAAATCACCCACCTGAGCTACAAATCTTCTCCACCACACATTATATTAGATAACTGTCATAATTCTACCTTCATATTCTGTGGTGTGATGTTGAAGCTGATAAATCACAAAGAGGATTTTTGGTATTGATATAAACATTCCTTTTTATATCGATGAATGGACAGTTATCTATTCAGTCCATGCAGTTCAGAACAAACAGCATAATCACATTCTTGAAATACTCAGAAGCTCAAAATGTTTCACATTTAAAGCGAATGTATTTGAAACTCGATCGTCACACAAATTTTACAACAGTGGATTTACCCTGAATCGACTGAATATTTCTCAATATTAACATCTGATATTTTCATTGGTTAATCAAGGGAACAATCTATATGCGAGATTAGGCAACATCAATAAACTTTATTTAGTCTAATGAAGATTTATTCTGAAAATGATGATCTTATATAAAGAAACAGACTAATCATTTAGGCAATAATAGAAATGTGTAAACGAAAATAAGGTATTGAAAATATGAACAACAGAGTTGAAGTAACCTGTTATGAATTGTAAATTTGATTTTATCATTTCCAGCTGTAGCTGATTGTAGAAAAAGGTCTCACAATATGGTAGAACACACTACAACGAAGGAATCATCTGTAACACTTCGGATTTGTTAATACTACAAGTAGAACTAATTCTACTCTTGCTAATATTACCATCATTACTAATACTACTGTCGTGTGTGCTACTGAAGTTAACAGATATAAGTAGTATGTATGATCAATCGAAATCGAAATGCCTATCGATAAAAGGTTAAGAAGATCAAAGACAAGAAAACGAGAACAAGGAATGGTTGGTGAGAAAATGAAGGAACAATCAAGTGTGAGACGATTGATTAAAAAATTTGCAAATGAAGTATTTTCTGCATGGTTCTCAGATTTTACTAAGAGATTCTATAATTGTTAATCTGATCTATTTGGTTGTGTCCATTTTTGTTCTCGTTCACTACAATAATACTAAAAGTAATATTGTACTACTTTTACTACTACCACTACAACTACTACTATTAATACTAATACTGTAGGGATGGATCGTTGGCAAACTTAAGGAAGACTGAAGAAGCTCAGAAAGAGCCGAAGACATTTCATCCAATCGCCGCTAGAGGAATATTCCAGTATTTCGACATGTAACTTCGCTATTCGATGAATAAGAAGGACCCCGCATGTGCCTAATAGCTACCCGAAATGGTGATTTACTTTCAGTCAAAAAACTATAAATACATGAGACTGTTGTTCTATATTTGACACTGTTTAGGAATAAAATTCCTACTTGTTAGTCTTCTGTCTTCTCTTTTACGACGTGGCGGGTTCGATCGTTCAATTACTCCAGTGGTAATCTACATAGCAAGAATCTAAAGCTGTTGATATAACAAATACTACTGCTAATAATACTACGACGGAAATACACTTTATTTTGAGTCATCCAGTTTCATATTATCTATTCTATTTATTTATTTCTGTCGGATGCTGATTGTATAGAAGTTCCCACACTATGGACGAACACATTCCAATGAAACGGATCGTCTGTAACACTTAGAGTTTGTGAGACATACACAGAATAATTTACTTCATATTGATTAGGAATGACTTCATATATATGAATTTTTCAAAGTTGAAATCATGAGTCGATTGAAGCTAGAACACCATGGAAAACTTGGAGACACTGGAAGGCCGTTTCGTCCTATTATGGGACTCCTCAGTAGTAAGCATCCACGATCCCGCTTCTCGAGATTCAAACCCAGGACCTACCAGTCTAGCACCAGAGCCCTCAACCGATAGGCCACTGAGCCGGCATCCAACGGTGTTAATGTCTAACTCTGGCTCGAGACTGGTAGGTCCTGGGTTCGAATCTCGCGAGTGCGGCATCGTGGATGCGCATTGCTGACGAGTCCCATAATAGGACGAAACGGCCGTCCAGTGCTTCCAGGTTTTCCATGGTGCTCTAGCTTCAATCGGCCCATGATTTCAAATATTAAAATACTAAAATCTCCACAACACCCCTTCTGAATATGAATTTCCCAATTTATTTACATCTACGTTGAGTGGGTGATATATATACATCAGTGAAATACTGAAAAATGCATGTAGTGAAAATCAAGAGTGTTGAGGAAATATTTATCTGGAAACGCTGAATTTCACCAAGATAATTTGTGTGGAAATTATCTTACACGAACTCAGTTCATTACAATAGAAGGATTGAACTGACGAAAATCGTCGAGGTGTGAAGATGGCAATTAAAAGTGGTCCACATACACACAGTGAGAGAGAGATTATACAGTCCAATGTCAATCATCAAGTCATAACGATGAATTTGTAACGTAGGTCATCATAACAAGAATACAAAGTAATTCTGATTGACAATGGTATCTATCATCACATCGTCAATCTAATGTATTCAGGTAGTAAACACTATAACATTATACACATCTCTTCCAGTTCACATATTTCAATCATTAGATTCTCTATTAAAATAGTTGTAAGATGATGTTTACTATTATTATTCTTACATATTAGATGTTAGATGTCAGTTGAATAGAGAACATTCAATGAAGTAATGAGATCATTGATAAAGTAAGAATATTCACACAAACACACACACACACCATCATCATCATCATCATCATCATCATCTTCATCATTCATCATTCAAATCATTGAACTCATAAAGATGAATACAAGGATTATCATCATTGTCTATCATAAATACCTCCGATTGTTATCATTATCATTATTAACCTACCTTATATCTTATCACTTTCATTTTGATAATTGACATTGACTTATAGTGTGTGTGTGTGTGTGAATGGGTATGTGTGTATATTGATTCAACGTGAGAATATCTATGTACATAATATGGATATCTAAATTTGATCAAATCTTTACTAAGATTAACTTCTTCTACTTCTTCTTCTTGAATTGTTCAACTAATAGATTCATAAATGAAGATGAATTTGAATGGAATGTTGAGTATTTTACTTAGATAACTATTTATAAATACTTGTACATTCTTGAAGATGGTTGTAGTAGTTCTCCATGTTTCAGGTCCTGCCGCTTTCCCGTTCTTGATTTGTCTGACGGCCATCTTGACTTCATCGACTGTTGGTGGAGTGACATGTATAGGAAGGTCTGTGTGTGCTACTTCGATGTCCGACGGATTCAATGACGCTGGTCTATTCAGCACTTTCTCGAAGTATTCTGCCCATCTTTTCCTCTGTTCTTGAATCACAGTGTTTGTATTTCCTTTTTTGTCTTTGTCTGGTCTCTCCGGTTTACTATATCTCTTTGTTAGTTTCTTTAATAGACTCATAAATTACGATCAATTTGAATGGGACAAAAAACTTTAGAAAATGAAGATGATACTGAAACATGTTTCTATGAAACTGTCTAGATCTTGTTACAGTTATGCTTTGCCCATTGTTTTCTTTACGATTGTTGATTCGATACTACTACTACTACTACTACTACTACTACTACTACTACTACTACTACTACTACTACTACTACTACTACTACTACTACTACTACTACTACTACTACTACTACTACTACTACTACTACTACTACTACTACTACTACTACTTTCTTCTTGAATCAAATTATTTCACATCCACAATGTCTTATGCCTACTGATACTGTTGCTACTTTTAATACTCTAGGATTTTATAATTCTGATATGATATGATAACTTGAATCAATCCATAAATTATTGTTATCGTTTTTTTGTTCTGGACTTCATTGAGTATAGAGTACTTGTAATTTTGTTGAATGACGTAATATCTAACTTATCTTCATGTTCTCTATATTGGATCATGAATAGTTTATCGGGTATACTATGATCCCGATCCGTGTATAATGTGTCGATCAAAGATCTAGTTTAGTAGTAGTGTAATAAATGAAAACTCAGGAAATCATACATTGAATACATCATTTGTATATCTTTATTTAGTTATCCTTTGCATACTTCATCATGCTTCCGATCCTGTTTTTATTCTGTTTGCTCTTCGTCTACTTTCTTCTTCTTCTTCTCCTCTTGATTTCACTCGTTTGTTGTTAAGCATTCTACTTCCAATTACTGCTATATACTATTGATATCTATCTGCATAAGTAGGGATTATGATAATAGTAATTAGATGTTGGTAGGTGTAGACTACTTGGTTGGGATCCTCGAGATGATAGCAATTGATGGTTAGAGACCCTGAATGACATGGCTCAAGATCGTTTGAAATGGCGAAGGTGCATCCACTCTTTGTGTTCTCCTAGATTCTGGTCTTCTGAATTCTTCATGTCTTTGTCTTTTTTCTCTTTTCAAATTTATTTCAGTGGATTATACTCCTTCAATAACATCTTCGAACCCTAATCTTTCACATTACTGCTTATACTCTTACTACCTGTACCACTATGTTATTTGAATCGACAACTGCTCTCTGTGTTAATGTGGTATGGCAACTTGAACTGATGTACGTATGTACGTACGAAGTTCTGCGTTGTGACTGACTGACTATTGTTTGATTCTAGTTTAGGACTCATTATGATTATCAACACTGCTTGCTTAGGATTGTTTTTAACCGAGGGGCGAGCAAGGGCAATAACTCATTGACTTGACGATGGTGTCGTTCTCATGGAGTATGCTCAATCTGATGAATTCGATCAGTCAGTTAAATATGACGTCGTTACTGTGTTATTTATTTATTTAAACGTATAAGCATCCGTACAGAAAGACACTAAATTATATATTCGTGTGACTGAATTTGTGTGGTCTATGATATACTGACCAGTCAACCAAGCCGAATGATTTTTTCTTAATTTATATATTTTGCTAAACTACTTTTTTGTAGATTCAACTTTTCGCCTATATCATCACATAATGCCGATTTACCGCCATCAATTACTCCTCCTGTTCTATCCACAATGATGTCATCATCCTCCAGCTCCTCAAATATTTACCCTCCATCGGGTCTACCACCTGTGAATTCAATAAATCAATCCAATTTATCCTCAGCTAGACAATTACCATCTGTTGTTACACCACCACCTCTGCTAGATGCCAATTATAACAATAATAATAATAGAAACTATCCTGTAATGAACCATCGTTATGTACAACCTCCAAATAATAATCTATTAGGATCAGATTCCGTTTCTGGAAATAGGTAGATCACCTTTTTTTCAAGCTTAGGGATACTTGAAAATTCAAGTCATGTGTTCAGTGTTTATTTTTCTCTGTAGTTGTTAGTATAAATCAAACAGCTTTTTTGCGTTGAACGAGATTGATTAGCATGTTCATCTTGATTGTCCCAAAGATTGTATTCTAGGGCTTTTAGTTGCAGTTATCTATAGTGTGTTCTAAAAATAGGACGAAGTGTGATCAGCAAGGAAATTTGAAATGCGCGTTTTGTCCTACTCGGGGCTCATCAGCTAGATGTGCACACATCCTATTCACAACTGTAATTCAATACTGTTAACTTCAAATGTCATTACATTATCCACTTAGCTACTGAGTGTAGATAGTTAATCATTTGATCGATGGTTATGAATTGTAATTTAATTTGTAGTAGTTTTAGATTAATCTGGTTGTTGATATTTTCATTGAAATTTGATTATTCTTCGTTGTAATCTGTCTGAAAAGTTCCGAATAAGATTGAACGAGCATCCTGGATTCCACTGCTAAAGATATTCTTTATCAGCTTGTATCATAATGACTATATTCAGTCAGTCCCGTTAGGATACTTGTATGCCAGTTGATACTGATGAAAATGATCAACAACGGAATAATTGAGATCATTTCAAATCAAGTTATAGTGTGTTCTATTTGGTTTTTGTTTTTTTTTGGTAGGGAAACCATCTTCAGTGAAGTTTTTTGATGCTATTAATTTAGTTCTGATACATGATCCGAATTGAATATGTTGTTTTTATTGTCTATGCTAAGCCTCTAGTTTGTTGGTTAATTACTACTCGTCTATCTGATAAAATCTCTTGTACTTGTCTTTGAGGTACCCTTTAAATGGTAAGGGCTACTGGTAACCACTTCTTGTTTGCTTTAAGTGAATTAGATGTAATAGGTTTCGAACTTACGACATTATATCTGGGAGTTGAATGTGTTAGGTATTGAGGCATCACTTCACGTTAACTGATACTATTTCACTGCATTAAACAGACACAATGGTTTAAAATGTCTGTACATGATCTTAAGTAAAGAACCATAAAGTAGTTTAACTAAAGGAATGATGATGCTTTTTAATGCTTAAAAGGTTAGATTTTCAAACCATTTCAAAATGTTTTGGTAGGATTTTTTTTGTACTCTGTGCTGTATGGTTTGATTATAGAATGTTTAGTGTTGGTTTGCCTAGAGACAACATTGTCAGCAGTTAAAAAAAGTTTAATGGATTAGTATTTCTCCAATAATTTGCTTTGTTGACAAGGAATTTCATTTATCTATTGTCTATAACTGTGTGGTTGTTGTTTGTATATTTGTATTAAATATGCTTCTCCGCTGATCTGATCCATGACTATCTATCTCTGAAATCAACTTGATCTATAAGCCAATGTGAATGATGATGAACAACTAGAATGTCAGAGATGTAAAGAAGGTTTCAGAAGGATGATTACAACCAAAACAAAAACAAAGATGGATAGTGGCTAGTAGCGGAATCCGGTTTGACGCGCGTTTCGTCCTATTTGGGACTCGTCAGCTGGATGTGCCTGCATCTCAGAGTTGATGTTCACTCCGGGACTCCAACCCAGTACCTTTCGTTTCAAACGCTATCGCGTTACCTACTTAGTTACTGAGTCCTGATAGCCACTTGCTTGTACAATGTAGTAAAGTTTAAATTCACTTAGTATTGTTTGTTTGAATCTTCCTATTGATGTTTAGGACTGCAACTGGTCAGTCTCTTATTATTAGACTCAGTGGCCGAATGGATAGCGCGATTGCGTTTGAAGCGAAAGGTACTGGGTTCGAGTCTCAGATTGAACATCAACTCTGAGATTCAGGTACATCCAGCTGACGAGTCCCAAATAGGACGAAACGCGCATCAAACTGGATTCCACTGCTAGCCACTAACCACCTTTCCTTACTTGCATGATTTGTTATTGATGTTTGAAATGAAGTTGTAAATCTAGGATATTCTTCACTCATCAATCACACTTAATTATAATAACACAGGTCTTGAAGGCATAGAATTGAAATAAGCAATAATCCCATCACTATTGTAGTAAAAGCTTTAATAAAATTCACAGTTTGTTGATCACTGAATAGTGGTCAGTGTCATGTTTGTCCAATATTTTTCTAGTGATGATCAGTTTCTATGGATCGAGCTTTAGTGTGACCAGTTGTCTCTTTGACTTGACATTTCGTGTACTATTTTGAGACTCTAGGTGCTTTTAAGCATTCAAAATAAAGCCTTTGTTGGCTTAGATTTCATCGCCCCTCTTATAGCTCAGTAATAACGTCTCAAATTGCGAAGCTTAGTGATACAAGTTCAAATGCCATGAAGATTGACAGTTTCTTCTAAATCACAGCAAAGCCTTTGTTTACGAATACTAACTCGCCTAAAGTGTCATTACAAGGTTTCTTACATACTAAGAAAATTGTTTTATTACCAGTAATTACTTACTTACTCACTTACACCCGTTCCTCCCAATGGAGCATAGGCCGCCGACCAGCATTATCCAACCCACACTGTCCTGGGTTTTCCTTTCTAGTTCTTTCCAATTTTGGTCATTCTTCTCATGTCTGTCTCCATTTCTCAGTGTAATGTGTTTTTTGGTCTTCCTCTTCTCTTTTGGCCTTCAGGATTCCATTTGAGGGCTTCCCTTGTGAAGCAATTGAATGATTTCCTCAATGTATATCTTATCCACTTCCAGCGCTTCTTCCTGATTTCTTCCTCCACTGGAATCTGGTTTATTCTCTCCCACAATAGATTGTTGCTGAAAATGTCTGTCCAATGGATCCGAAGTATTTTGAGTAGACAACTGTTAATAAACACTTGTATCTTCTGGATGATTGCTTTCGTAGTTCCCCAAGTTTCCGACCCATACAATAGAACTATCTTGACATTTGTATTGAAAATTCTGACTTTGGTTTTGGTTCACAGTTGTTTAAAGGTCCATATGTTCTTCAATTGTATATATGCTTCTTTTGTTTTATCGATCCGCGTCTTCACATCTGCAGCATCTCCACCGTGTTCATCGATGATAGTGCTCAGATATGTAAAGCTTTTTGCATCATCAACAGCTTCTCCGTCAAGTGTGTTTCGATTGATGCATGTTGTGTTGTATCGGAGAATCTTGCTTTTTCCTCTGTGTATATTGAGACCTACTGCTACTGAGGCTGCTGCTACACTAGTCGTCTTCTCCTGCATTTGTTGTTGCGTGTGTGATAGAAGAGCCATATCGTCTGAGAAGTCTTCTTAGAGAATTCCACGTCGTGTATTATTTGCTGAAGCTGAAGCTGGTTGTTGAGTGTATGACATCGTGTCGTGGTATGAAAGAAAACTGTAAAGGACTGGTTTATGTTGGTCCTTCCCGACTCCCTGGCTGGGGTCCTACAGATAGTGCAACACAGTGGCTAGAGACGTTATCAGGTATGGCTCAGAATAGAAGCCAGTGGCGATCGTGCTGTAACTTTATTTTATGGACGTTACTTGGCCTGAGGAAGCCTAGACAAGTTTGTTAGACAAAATGTTGAAAACATTTAGATTTCAATCACTGAGATTGTTACATCATGTATAATTTTCACATATAATTGTATCTCCATACTCTCAGTGCCTAATTTTTGTGAAACTGTGATGTGGGTTACTGATATCAATATAAGTAGTATACGATGATGGTCGGTCATTGAATATATTTCAATAGAAGATCGATAAGTAGAGAACGGGAATGACACGCAATTGGTACGAAAATGCATGAACAATTATAATCGGTGACTATGGACGGATATTTGTAGAAAAAACAGTCAAATGTTGTCCTAAAATACATTCGATTGTCTCCACTCATGTTCACGTCGTTTCTCTAACAACTATCGGGGAATGTACTGACCAAATGTTAGAACATCGTCATACCTACCACAGGTCAACAATCGTAGTATTTCATGACATCAGGGCCGCCTTCAATTCGTTGGACAGATCTGTACTGTGGGATCGTCTAGTGAAGAAGGGTGTGCTTGAAAGGTTTATTAGCATCTTAAAAGCCTGTTAAGTCTATCGAAGCGTCCAAATGACCCGATTGAGATACGCGCAAAATCGAAGTTCCAAAACAACGATTTGTCTACAAAAGCGGTTCTATTATTATATAAAACACAAAATTTAATTACAAACCTCAACTTGTGAGGTGTCTAGGCGTTTAACGTCTCGTTCAAGAATGAAATAGTAAAGGCTTCGATAGTACAAAGACAGCCAATGGCTGTGTCGAAATTGGACAACAGTTTATGAACAATCGAAACTCGAACCAAGAGCAAAACAATATGGGGACTGTTGCGTTTAAACAAATCCGCAACTGTGGATAACCGTTACAGTAATTAAAGTACAGTGATTACAATGATAAGTATAATAAACATTATAAATATATGTGAACGTTTCCGAATGTTACAGTACAACTTGCGTTACAATGTAAATGTGAAAATTGTTAAGGATACAACTGCTTACTGAATATAAATAAGTAGTATAAAACAATAAACAAAGAAGTGGAAGGAGAGCGAGTAGGAACAATGTAAGACAAACTTAACAAAGCCCTATATAAAAACACCTCAGGGGGAGTGAGGGCATACATCTGCCTGTCTCCATTGTTTGATTCAAACAATGGGGTTTAACGGAGTTGCCCAATCTCACCATTCCTCATCAACTTTGCTATCGACGCGTTTTGGAAACAGCTCTAATGGATGTAAGTAATGACGGTGTGGATCCATTGTCTGGAGGAAGAATTCTCGACTTTGAGTATGCGGATGATAGTCTTACAGTGCGATAATGCCCAAGCCATGCAATCCGCAATTAATTAGTTGGTAATTAGAGTCCGTTTGTATGGTATGTGCTTAGCACCTTCAAATGGCGAAGTACTTTTACAAAACTGGCACGACCCTAATCCTGCACTCACCCTGGGTGGACGAAATGTTGCAATCATTTAGATTTCAATTATTGAGATTATTTCATCTATCATTTCCACATATCATTGTATCTCTATACTTTCAGCGCCCAACTATTTTTTATTGTTTTCTTGTTCCTTCAGCATAATCGTCAAAAATTAACGGATGTTGAACATCGTCTGAATCAATTCTTTATGAATATATCTACTGGTCAATTACAATTAAATCCTCCATCAATGGAATATTTACATCACTGTATTCATTCCATTGAATCTAATGATTATATAAATGCTTTACAACAAATTAATTTATTTATACAATCTGCAATACAATTATCAGATATTCAATGTTATGGACCAGCATTAAAAAGATTAATTCAAACAGCTAAACAGTTGTCCATTGAAATGAACAATACTACTACTACTACTATTACTACCACTACTAATGGATAAACACATAGATAGCGGTGTTCCACTCTTCTAATCTAATCCAACCATCTACTGTTCCCTAACACTTTAACAGATTGAAGGATTGGAGTGAGTTTTTGTTGGCTTCAAACGATGTTGGCGATTAGTTCTTTGTTTTCCTGTTGTTTTTCTTCTTTGTTCTTTGTTTACTTATCATTCTATACTTTTTGTCGCTAACGGTTGATTGTATTGTGTATACGTACTGAGTTTAAGTGAAGAATTGGGGGGGGGGCAGGGGTAATGCGTTATATGATATTCTTAACTTTGTCAATATATGAATCAAATATCATTGTGGTTATTAATTATGGTAATGATGATAACTATTGCCATGACTATTACTACTATCATAGATATAAGTAGTGCATATGTTTTGTCAATAATTTCCTTTTTACCATTCTTATCTTTGCTTTGCTTTTGTTTTCAACTATTCTGCTTATCTGAGATGCCTTTTTTTTAAACATCCATTACACTTTCATAATAATAATAATTTCCTGTTTTCGTAATGAATTTCCTTGTTATAATTCTTATTAGAACGAAGTATATTTACTGAATAGTTGATTAATAATAAACAACTAGTTTAAGTAAAACTGGATAGAACTAGTAAAGAAGGTCCAGGATAGAGTTGATTGGAGAATGCTGGTCAGTGGCCTATACTCCATTGGGAGTAACAGGCATAAGTAAGTAAGTAGTTTAAGCATGGTTATGTGTATAAATTACTTGACTGTTGTTTCTATTCGTTATATAATGGTCAATCAGTCATAATCAACGTAAAATCTGGCACATATATATGGATCTGTCCAAGTGGTCGGGCAATATTAACTCCTTAAATTGAAATGATCAAGAATAATGCCATTGAGTAGTAGAAGTCGTAATATTAATCACTTGTAGGTATAAGGATTCAGTATAAACAATATGATTTTTAGATGAGTAGGAATGGTATGAAATGAAGTGTTATGACTTGAAACACTAATTGATATCATGTGTCACCAATCCAAATTCTTATTGTAACTTTTATTTATTTGTTTATTTGAACATATAGATATTGGTTTAAATTAGACACCAATGGGTCACACAAATCTCATTTGATTTGTGTGAGGGCTGTGATACTACCCGGGTGCCCAAACCGAAACAGGTGTTTTTCTTAAGGGGCCACCCAAGGAGCCTTTGACCTAAAGATCCGATCCACAAGGCAGTGTAGCACCGTGAAGCGATTCAGTCCCATGGTAGCTAGTGACCAACCATTGATTCATACTTCATTTGTTTCCTCAGGATACTGGAGCCCATGTGCACTATTGGTTTGAAATCAGGGTTTGCCAACTCCCCTAGGTAGACGCTCCGTGTTCACCGATCCTGCTAAAGCGCCGAACATTCGCTTTTCTTCTTCTCAACTTCGTAAACAATACCCGTGGTGCGAGAAGGCGGTGAGAAGACCTTCCGTGATAGTAGTTGTCTGCACGTGGCCATGTGAGAGCATCGGCCGTACCAGGGCATTGTGGGGCTACTATTTTTTATAAGCGACCAGTGTCCTAGACTTAACCAATTATACGTATGACCTGCACGGTTAACATTCAGTCGACAAGGGTTGCGTTGCTATTATTTCGTTATACTTAAACCTACCTCTATTCCTTTTCCTTGAGGTCAAAGAGAAGTTAGAAGCCAGTTTACTATTACTACGATTATGACAGTTATTATTAAATTGCAAATATACATGAGATAATATGCAATCATTTTGTGGCACAATACCATCATAAAATGAAAAATCACAATTATACATAAATAAGGCAAAATTTGCCTTCTGTGAGAGAGAACAAACCAGCTTCCAGCCGAAGAGGAGACTAGGAAAAGACCTTTGAAGTGGATCGGACATACGTTAAGGAAATCATCAAACTGCATCAAGAGGCAATCGCTAACTTTGAATCTGGAATGGAATCGAGAAAGAGGAAGGCCGAAGAACACATTACGCCGGGAACTAGAAGCAGATATGAAAAGGATGAATAACAACTGGAAAGGTTTGCCCAGGACAGGGGTAGATGGAGAATGCTGGTGGGCGGCCTATGCTCCTAAACGAGGAGTAGCAGGCGCAATCAGTAGTGAGTAATTGTTTTGTTGTAAACGAGAACTCAGCTGCGGACAACCAATGTATTTTAATATAAAATTACAGAATGTCTTGGAACCATACATTGATTACTTCATTTACGAAATTCCATTGTTTTTCCTTTACATTCTGTATGATTCATCCGAGTCACAACATTTTTCTGTCTACGTTTCTCTTTTGTTCAAGTTGACATTTTGATAGCCTTATTCTACCAAAGTTTCCTACATCCGATCTATGTTACATACTACTTATATCTGTCGACTTAAGTAGCATAGACAGTTTGGTTCGCCAATAATTGATTTTGTTATCAGTTTTTACTTATTTTTCAAGGAACTTCTACAATATTGAAGTCATATAACATCTAATCTTTATTCCATTCCAACTTCAATTCTGAAACGATTTGATACATATATACTTCGTACCTCTACTCTTTTCTCACAAATTATTTGCGCTATACTTAAACTGTTTTTACTTATACAAATATGATAATGAATAAGACTACAGAAAATTTTGTGACAGCGGCTACAAATACAAATACTGACTGTTTCAGTTTTCAGGGTTCCTCACCCAGATTATAAGGAAGCTAAGAAGACTTTTACCCAAAGGTGTTATATCTCGAACTTAGATGCTTAGTATGTCGCGTATAACTTGAGCACTCTAACGCTGGAACTTTCCTAAGTCACAGAATGAGAAGTCAGTCAGTCAGTTACAACGTAGAACTTCGTACGTACGCACATCAGTTCGAGTTGCCATACCACATTAGCACAGAGATACAGTTGTCGATTCAAATCACATAGAGGTAGAAGTAGAAAGAGTATAAGTATTATGTGAAAGATAAGTGTTTGAAGATGTTATTGAAGGAGTAGAATCCAGTGAAATAAATTTGGAAAGAGAAAAAAGATAGAGACATGAAGAATTCAGAAGATTAGAATTTGGCAGAACATAAAGAGTGGATGCACCTTCACCATTGCAAACGATTTTGAGCCATGTCATTCAAGGTCTCTAACCATCGATTGCTATCATCTCGCGAATCCCAACCACGTAGTCTACACCTATCAACATGGCTCAGTCCAATTGTCAGTGACTTCATGGATTTATGCCATGTTTTGGTCTGGCCGCCCCTAACTTTCTTCCAACCTGCTCCTACACCATAAAGCATTGCACGTCGGGGCAGTCGGTGTTTGGGCATACGTAACACATGTCCCAGCCATCTCAACTGATGAAGTTTCACTACTTCATCAATCGATTTGCCATCCTTACCTAGTACCCGTTTCCTAACATCTGCATTACTTACCCGGTGGTCCCAGGATATACGAGCAATGCGTCGAAGACACCTGTGATCGAATACTAGTAGCCTGCAAATATCCTCTACTCTTATCGGCCATGTTTCACTGCCATAAAGTAGGATGGAACGAACTGTTGCACAGTAAACCCGTCCTTTATTTGCTAGACGGATATTTCGCATACGCCATAAATGACGCAAGTTGGCGAAAGCTAGTCGAGCATTCTGTATCCGTGCTGAGATTTCGTCACATATCAAACCACAAGGGCTGACGAGACTACCAAGATAAGTGAAGTGGTCTACACGCTCAACTACTTCATTCCCTATCATTAGTCCAGGTGTCGCTGCAACCCAATCCTGAAGTAACATTTTGCATTTCGAGATAGAGAATCGCATCCCGAACATGCCTGCATTGTTGCTTATAGTGGTCAGAAGACTCTGCATGTTGTCAGCGTCTTCACCGAGTAAAAACATGTCGTTGGCGTATTCTAAGTCAACAAGTGAATCTCCCGGTAAAAGTTCAACTCCAGGAGATTGAGATGATGAAAGTGCTATCTCTAAAAGTATGTCAATGACAACTTTAAACAAGAATGGGGAGAGTGGACAGCCCTGACGAACACCACTTGAGGTTATCAGTACTGATGACAGTTCGCCATAGGCTCTAACTCGACCAGTTGTGTTCGAGTAGACAGCCTTTATGAGGTTAATGTACTTCTTTGGTACTCCTTTCAGTGACAAACACTGCCACAGAACCTCACGATCAACGGAGTCAAATGCCGCCTTAAGGTCAAGAAATATTACTATTGTGGGACGTCTGAATTTGTGTCTATGTTCTAGGACCTGACGTAGAGTGAATATCTGGTCTATACAACCACGTCCAGGTCGAAAACCAGCCTGGTTTTCTCTAGTCTGCTCTTCACGAGCTTTGATTAGGTGTCCAAGTATTATTGAAACTAATATTTTAGACACTATACTAGTCAAACTGATTCCTCTGTGATTGTCACAGGAGGTCTTTTGTCCTTTCTTAAAGACTGGCACAATCAGTGATTGGGACCAGTCAGATGGAATTACGTCCAGTTCTCAGATTCCACCTAAGACCTCAGTCAATCTCGTTGCTTGTTATGGACCACCATCCTTAAAAATCTCAGGGGTAAACTTGTCAGGGCCTGCTGCTCTCCCTCGCTTTAGATTTCCTTTAGCTTTTTCAACCTCGTAGAGAGTTGGAGGAGTTACCTCAATTTGCCATTCAGGACGGCTAGGAACCGTGGGTAACTGAAGTGTGGCTGAAGGCGAGTTGAACTAATCCTTAAAGTGTCCTGCCCATCGATTCAATTTCCTGGATTGAGAATGAATGATATGCCCATCTTTGTCTGAGATAGTTTCGGCAATAGTTGGGTTCCTAATGCCGGTTTCTTTAATAAGTCTGAATAGCTGTCTGCTGTTACCTATTGCCGCTGCCTTTTCCATCTCTCTTGCTTCGCTACCCACCACTGTTCACGAACATTGCGTAGGCTTCTTATTAGCCTTCGCTTAAGCTGACTTCGTTATGTTCAGAGCCAGGTAGGATGAGTTTTCGAGCATCTATCAGTGTGGTAGAGGCTGCCGAGATCCATTGTTTCTCCCTGACCTTATGGCTTACCTTACTGCTGTTTCCACAGCTTTTCGGAAGTCATTCCACGCTGCCTCGGGGTGGACACAACTTACATGGCTGCCTAATCGGTTGAGGGCTCTGGTGCTAGACTGGTAGGTCCTGGGTTTGAATCTCGAGAAGCGGGATCGTGGATGCTTACTACTGAGGAGTCCCATAATAGGACGAAACGGCCTTCCAGTGTCTCCAAGTTTTCCATGGTGTTCTAGCTTCAATCGACTCATGATTTCAACTTTGAAAAATTCATATATATGAAGTCATTCCTAATCAATATGAAGTAAATTATTCTGTGTATGTCTCACAAACTCTAAGTGTTACAGACGATCCGTTTCATTGGAATGTGTTCGTCCATAGTGTGGGAACTTCTATACAATCAGCATCCGACAGAAATAAATAAATAGAATAGATAATATGAAACTGGATGACTCAAAATAAAGTGTATTTCCGTCGTAGTATTATTAGCAGTAGTATTTGTTATATCAACAGCTTTAGATTCTTGCTATGTAGATTACCACTGGAGTAATTGAACGATCGAACCCGCCACGTCGCAAAAGAGAAGACAGAAGACTAACAAGTAGGAATTTTATTCCTAAACAGTGTCAAATATAGAACAACAGTCTCATGTATTTATAGTTTTTTGACTGAAAGTAAATCACCATTTCGGGTAGCTATTAGGCACATGCGGGGTCCTTCTTATTCATCGAATAGCGAAGTTACATGTCGAAATACTGGAATATTCCTCTAGCGGCGATTGGATGAAATGTCTTCGGCTCTTTCTGAGCTTCTTCAGTCTTCCTTAAGTTTGCCAACGATCCATCCCTACAGTATTAGTATTAATAGTAGTAGTTGTAGTGGTAGTAGTAAAAGTAGTACAATATTACTTTTAGTATTATTGTAGTGAACGAGAACAAAAATGGACACAACCAAATAGATCAGATTAACAATTATAGAATCTCTTAGTAAAATCTGAGAACCATGCAGAAAATACTTCATTTGCAAATTTTTTAATCAATCGTCTCACACTTGATTGTTCCTTCATTTTCTCACCAACCATTCCTTGTTCTCGTTTTCTTGTCTTTGATCTTCTTAACCTTTTATCGATAGGCATTTCGATTTCGATTGATCATACATACTACTTATATCTGTTAACTTCAGTAGCACACACGACAGTAGTATTAGTAATGATGGTAATATTAGCAAGAGTAGAATTAGTTCTACTTGTAGTATTAACAAATCCGAAGTGTTACAGATGATTCCTTCGTTGTAGTGTGTTCTACCATATTGTGAGACCTTTTTCTACAATCAGCTACAGCTGGAAATGATAAAATCAAATTTACAATTCATAACAGGTTACTTCAACTCTGTTGTTCATATTTTCAATACCTTATTTTCGTTTACACATTTCTATTATTGCCTAAATGATTAGTCTGTTTCTTTATATAAGATCATCATTTTCAGAATAAATCTTCATTAGACTAAATAAAGTTTATTGATGTTGCCTAATCTCGCATATAGATTGTTCCCTTGATTAACCAATGAAAATATCAGATGTTAATATTGAGAAATATTCAGTCGATTCAGGGTAAATCCACTGTTGTAAAATTTGTGT